GGGGTCTGGGGAATGCCTCACGTGGGCAGGCTGGGGAATGCCTCACCCCGAGCAGGAGGTACCGCTCTGGGGCATGCCTGGCGGAAAGAACCTGTTTAAAGAGAACTTATCTGGAAACAAGCAAAATCAGCCTGCTGGGAACTCATTCAAAATGTGGCTCTCAAATCTTATTACAGGAACTGGGTTTCAGCATGCTTGAGCTATAGAAATGTTCACTACCTTGTCCAGTGTGTAGTCTTCAAAATGTTGGGTTGCCTAGTTTTCTTGGAACCATTGCACCCAAAGCTTGGCCTGCAGGTTGACCTAGATTCCCAAGTCCATCCTTCTGCTGCAGCTATTGAGGTCTCTTGGGCTTGTGTGTTGATGCCCTGGGGCTTATAAGGGGGAAGGAACTTGAAACCTTGGTGCTGGCTTGTCCTGCTAGACATCAGTTATTCGTGTGGTCTCTTTGCAGCCACTTACCCTCTATGTACCCTCAAGCAATAGGTGCTTGGTATAGGTCAGGATGACTGAATGCAGTCTTTACTAGAAGTGCATGTGACAGTGACAACACAGGTGCACCATTGGGAGATGCAGGCAGAGCTTTGTAACTCGGCAGGAAGTGCCTATACACAGTCCTTCATGGCAGGGTTTCTCCTGGGTGGTCTGAGAAGAGCTCAATAGTTACAAAGACAGAACTTTGGAATTGCATTGAGTGAGATTTGTCATTTGGTTTTACCTCCACTATAAACCTCACACCTTTTTGTAATGCCAACCCTTTGGTCAGGCTGTGGGAGTTTTATGATGTAAAACGGATGAGGACAATCTTTAGAGCTTTTATTCCTATCCAGTCCTGAGATTTACAGTTCTGCCACACAGCACAGCCCTGTCTGGAAGTACAAGATATGTCCGTCCCCCCTGCAGTTGGGTAAAATATCGTGTCCCTTGGCTGGGAGTTCAGCTTTAATAACTGAGGCCACTCACCAAGTCTCCCAGTGCTATAGTTACAGGGAAACAGCGTTCAAAGCTACAGTAACCCTTGACCATGAATCTTCTACACCACATATGCTAAAGTGGGGGAAGCCAAGCACCTGCCCTCCAGCTGTTCTGGGACTGCAAATCCCATCATGCACCTGTGACTGACTGTCACAGGTATGACTTGGAGTCATACCTGTGACAGTCAATCTTTCAATGCCTTATGGAACTTGGTTCCACAACAGCTGGAGGGCTGCAGTTTGGATACCCCAGCGCTAAAGCCTTCATCATAGGGACTGTGCAGGGTCTACCTCTCCTAAATTATCACGAAAATACTAACCAGACTTAATTAGGAATATTGTAGAGTGTCACTGTAGGACTTTCTTTTTCTCCACATTAACCCCTGCCCTGCTGGTCCCTTGCAGATTCCCCAGGGCACTGGCAGGACTACCTCCAGTCGTCCATAGTGCAGGGTGCCCTGCAGATGGGCTTTGATGAAAGCTTGGTGGCCAGTGTGGTGCAGAGCCGATTCCTGCTGGTCGGGACCCCTTACAACTGCTTGTCTGAGCTGGTCACTGAACTGTTGGATGATGTAGCGCATGCAGAAGAGGAGAGAGTGCCACAGACCCCAGGTACACATAGCCTGAGCCTAAAGCTCGCCAATCAAGGTACAATCCTTCCAAATCTATTAGATTTACCTAAACTGTCATACGAGGATCTAAACTATCTAGTTTGTATCCATTCAGGTAGGTCCTTCCTCTACAGTTGTTAGATGCAATGTGCTTGCACAATCTCCTTTTATAACATGTGTGATGGTTGAGTGTTGGCCTGTGTGGGTGTTAAATCTCAACTTCAGGCAAACATCTGAATAATGTATTACAAGATTTGTATTTGTCCATTCTCAGATGGACAGGCGACTTTATTTCTCTGCTCCAGCCTATGACAGGACAGTGAAAGTGCCATAGTGGGGAGCTCATGTCACTCTGCCCTCTCCTATCAGAATGCCCCTTATTGGCACACGAGGACTGCAGTAAAACTAATTGGCTGCTTCTCACTCCCAGTCTCAGCTTGGCTGTAGAGGAGACTAAGACCAGGTCAGATTCAGAGGCTTGCACTGCTTGCATAAAAATTTTTTTTTATATACCTTGTAATAGAGGGCTGCATGACATTGTCCTTTGATATGTGCTTGGAGGTCCTCTTTAAAGGGAGTCTATCGCAACGCTTTTTAATGTGCCTTTGAAGATGTCATGCTGATCTGATCTCCCCATAGTGACCAGGTATGCAGCCATTGAAGTCAGAATTCTCCTTGGTACTTCCTTATTGGCCACTAAAATAGGAATGGTTAGACATCCAGGCCTCTGGCATCAGATATTTCTCACATCAGCTTCCTTTTGAGGCAGCTAGGGCTAGATGAAGGTCCCTATGGTGGCCATTGTTCTGGGTATCCCATTTTAGGCATCTTTTTCCCTTCTTGAAGCCAGTGGTGGGAAGCCAACTAAGGTCAGTGAAGGTACAATGTCTGAAGGATCTCATTTATCCAGGTCAGGGTATCGCTAGTAGAAGGTTGCAGTCAGATGGACTTACTATTTGAGGTCTCCCTACTCATCCAGCTCTTTGGGTGCAGGTCTTTTTTGGGTTCTTGTGCAGCCCTGTTTGATGTGACTGTTCTCTTTCCAGAACCTGCTCGAATTCCAGAAGGTCCTGCACAAAGCTCTTCTTCCCAGGCCCCTAAGCCAGGTAAACTTTTGACTTTCAAAATGTTGTTGCTTATGATAGAAATCTTGAGGTCAATGCTGTCAAGTGAGGGCATAATCTACCACTACATGGTATTACCAGTTTTGGTTGGGCACAAGTAGTGGAGGTTGTGTGAAGGTGGCTCCTAAATGTTCACCATTTTCCTTCTGCAGAAACTCCACTCAGCGCAGAGGAACAGCTTCGACGCCTGAAGGAGGAAAGGACGTGTAAAGTCTGTATGGACAAAGATGTGTCTATGGTCTTTGTACCTTGTGGGCACCTGGTGGTCTGTGTGGACTGTGCCCCGAATCTCAGACATTGTCCCATTTGTAGGGCAACCATCAGAGGCAGCATGCGGGCCTTCATGTCTTGAGTTGGCAGGTGAGCAAGCTTGCATTATCCTTCCCCTAAACTATAACCTGTCCCCACTAAGTACTGCCGCAACCTCAAGTGGTTTGACCAAATAAGATGCTTTCCATCACTTGGATATTCCAGAATGGGCACTTGTCTAGAGCAGGCTAGCATCACATCTGTAGATGTAACTGGTCCTCTTTGAACACAAGCATCAGTCACTGTGTACTTGCCAAGGGCTTGTATTTCTGTCCATCCAGGTCCTAGGATTTAGTCCTACTAGATGGCAAAGACAAGGGAATGGCATCACTATAGCAGAGGTTAGGCAAACTCCAGCCCTCCAGCTATGGCGCAACTGCAAATCCCATTAGGCACTGCAAGACTGACAGCCACAGGCATGACTCCTAGAGGCAGATGCATGGTCAGATTTGTAGTTTCACCACAGCTAGTGTTTGCCTACCCCTGCACTATAGGAAGGATGCAGTGGTGTCTCCTCAGGCTTCTTACTGGAGTGTAAGAGCAATAGCAGACTGGTGTGGTTGTCGCTCTGCACACTTCATCTATCATGTACCTTATCAGCACACATGCTTGCAGCACACCTGATTGGCTCCCCAGTACTGCCCTTCCTTCAGAGCTGCTGTATAGGGCGTGTAGGGGGCTTGCTGTGTAGGGCGTGTAGGGGGCTTGCTGGGTAGGGCGTGTAGGGGGCTTGCTGGGTAGGGCGTGTAGGGGGCTTGCTGGGTAGGGCGTGTAGGGGGCTTGCTGGGTAGGGCGTGTAGGGGGCTTGCTGGGTAGGGCGTGTAGGGGGCTTGCTGGGTAGGGCGTGTAGGGGGCTTGCTGGGTAGGGCGTGTAGGGGGCTTGCTGGGTAGGGCGTGTAGGGGGCTTGCTGGGTAGGGCGTGTAGGGGGCTTGCTGGGTAGGGCGTGTAGGGGGCTTGCTGGGTAGGGCGTGTAGGGGGCTTGCTGGGTAGGGCGTGTAGGGGGCTTGCTGGGTAGGGCGTGTAGGGGGCTTGCTGGGTAGGGCGTGTAGGGGGCTTGCTGGGTAGGGCGTGTAGGGGGCTTGCTGGGTAGGGCGTGTAGGGGGCTTGCTGGGTAGGGCGTGTAGGGGGCTTGCTGGGTAGGGCGTGTAGGGGGCTTGCTGTGTAGGGCGTGTAGGGGGCTTGCTGATTTAGTGCTGCAGAGCTGCAGTAATGTCTGGTGTCCCCCTGGAGCTCTGCTTTACATGTATAATGGGCTAGAACACGGCTTAACAATAAAGCCTGACCAAGCCAGAGGTTGCCATTGATGACACCTGAAAATGCTGGTCATCCGGCTGCCTTTGCCATTCAAACTTCAAGCCCCTGACTAAGGATAAGCAATGCAGATATCCCCCGACATCCTGCATTGCTTCTCTGTAAAGACTCGTACTGTGAATGCAGTGACGCTGAGCTGGCAGTTATCTGAGACTAGTGCCGCACAGACTTGTAGTAGCCCAATCCTGAGGGCAAAATATATTTGTAACAATTGGCTCCCTATGGAGTAAACTAGACAAGTTGCGTGTAGTAGCAATCAGTCTTGCTTGGTCCTGCAATGCTCCATCTATCTCTGCAGGGCTGACCATATAAGTATTTAGACTGTTGGCTAGAAGCAAAGCTTAAGCCAGGGGTAGGCAGCCCCAGCAGTAGTGAAACTGCATATACCTTCATGCCTCCAACTCCAAGGGGGTACCAGACTACTGCAGCTCTGCAACTACCTGGAATTGACTTTACATCAACCTTACATTCTCTATACAGAAGCACAGGAGAGGGAGGGGCAGCACTGGGGAGGTAATCAGCCATGCCTGTGGCTTAGTCTCGCAATGCCTCATGGGAATTGTAGTAAACAGCAAAGTTGCCTACCCCTTGCTCTAAGCTGTAACCCTTTTTTCTTACAAATGCCATGCAGGTTCATTCTCCTCTCCAACATTACTGGATACATCAAGCATGATCCCTCTGCCTCAAGCCACCACTGAACAAGGAGCTTGTCTGGAAGCATCCAGTTCCAGTTGATAGGGTTGTGCCACATGCAGCTACACAACGGCAGCCTGTCCCCATACCGAAGTGGACGTGTGACCCAGACCCCCATTTTATACTATTTTTACAGCAAGCTTTTTTTGTGACTTAATCTTTGGTAGCCCTGTGTGCCTTTTGTGTTTGACAATGGCCATCGTGGCCAACTTGTGTAGTTTAACTATTTATGACCTGCTATTCAACTATTAATGATGTGGTATTCAATAAAGTATTTTTGGTTACAAAAACCTGTCTGAGTTCTGTTAAATGTCTACGGCTTTCCATGGGCCTGTGGCTTTCCATGGGCCTGTGCTGCTGGCATTCAAACAGGTAGGAAATATAGTCTTCTAGGCCCCGCAAGGAAATGATCTGGTTTTGGATAGCTGGAAGGCATATTTTATTGTCAGGCCCTGTCATTGTGCATTATACTGAAACTACAGCCCATCTTTCTCTTCCCCATCCAAAAACAAGAGAAACGCCTTCAGGTTCTTCTATCCCACTTGCCTTCTGTGGGGCACAGTGATGTGAAATCTACTTCCCTGCAATGCTCTGGTGGCAAGGCAATCCCAGTGTGCATTGCGTTAGCAAACAGGGAAGTCATTTTTCCCTTTCAAAGCCGGAAATGAAGGCTCTGCAAGTATTTCAAAATCACAGCATTTTACACCTGTCATGTCTGTTAATCGTCATACCGTACATAGAGATGCATTGGTAGAATTAGATTTGTTTAGTGTAAAGGTCACTAGGCTGCAATGCTGTACCCTTATTTGACCATTAGAGGGCAGCATTGCCCTACAGTCTCGTGGCTTCCACTAGGACACCTGCTGCAGTCTGGAATGTCCCTCATTGACTGTCATCTGCTCTGCTATTCCACATCACAATGCTGGGGTTGACCCTTTTCCTCCTATAAAACCACTTTGTAAAAGGTAGCGCTTTATAAAATCCGATTTCCATTCTAGAAAGTGTCTAGCTTTTCAAGAGAAGGCAGGAAAACAGATTCCATAGTGGAAGAGACCCCAGAACTATGCAGGTACCAGCTAATGGGTCAATGAGCCACACCTGGCTGAGCCCCCCCTAGACACCTCTGGTGGAACCTTAGGCTTTAGAATCTAAAATCGCCAGGCGACTTTGTAACAGCTCATTGGGGGCCAGTTGGCAAGGATGCAGATGGTCACCTGTCATGCTGATGGCTATGATGATGATTACATGTCACTGGTTTTCTTGGTCCAATCACTTTATAGCGCCCCTCAGTGTATGTATATGGCAGGGGTAGGCTGATGTATGTATATGGCAAGGGTAGGCTGATGTATGTATATGGCAGGGGTAGGCTGATGTATGTCTGTATATGGCAGGGGTAGGCTGATGTATGTATGTATATGGCAGGGGTAGGCTGATGTATGTATATGGCAGGGGTATGCTGATGTCTGCTAATGCATTCTTCCAGACTGTATCATAGATCAGGGGTAGGCAACCTCTGTACTCCAGATGTGAAACTACACATCCCCCCCTGAGACATTGCTAAATGGACAGCCATGGGTATGATAGACATAAGATTTGTAGTTTCACCCCAGCTGGAATGCCAGTGATGCCTACCCCGGGTTCATGGCTACAGCCTGGAAGAACCCGACCAGGAGTAGTAGACCTCTGCCTGTCTCTGCTTGCACCTGGGCCCATTAGCTGTCTGATCCGTCTCATTGAGTAGTAGAAAGTGGTGACCCATGTGCTGCACTTTCCACCACCAGTACTTGTTCTACCCATGAGCAGCCTGAAGACCTATCCGGCATCAGATGAAGGCTGACTGTTTTTAGTGATATGCTCCTTAAGGGAGTAAACTACTTTTAAAGTACTGCACCTTTCCACATTAAAACACACAAGGTGCACCAGGTGGTTATAATGACCCTGACCCTCCCACTGAGTGGTCATGTTTTTCTCTTCTGCATCTTTCCTCATTAGAACACAGAAGGTGCACTTGCTGGTTTTAGTGACCCTCCTATTCAGGTTTCCTTCAGAATGGGGAAGGGCTGATATCTATAACAGTGTAACATTCTTTCAATGTACATTGATCACCCAGTGGGCAAAAGTATGTATAAGTGACTCCCCCCTCACCTCCCCAGTATGACGTGTAGCCTGTTTCTGTAAACTATCATGTGACAACTTTTATTAAACCTTAAAGGAAAAAACTCATCAATCATCACCTGGTTGTGCCGCCACTGGATGATGGCAGCGAACTACGTCTGGAGTACTGTAGGCAGAGCAAAGGGTTTGACATGTGGGCGGAGTCAGAGGGCCTAGGAAACTGAGTGGGTGAGGACAGGAAGAGCAGTGCTCATGGGACACTGGCCCAGTAACAGTCAGTAGTGCGCAGTCCCAACACCATAGTCTCTTTGCTGCCATGCGGTATGCACAGTCCAGATTCTTATTGCAGGTGAATCCCTGGCCCTGTATGTGGTCCAGATGAAGGCGGAGCCTGTGTGCTGGCTCTCAAGACTTCCTGTAGCTGCACTTGTTTGTCGCTCGTCTCACTTACGCCGGCCTATGGTGAAGATGGAAGAAAGTCAGATGTGGAAAATGCCATGAAACTATGACGACAAGCAAGTGACCTGATTGTGAATCATTGATCAATGTTAATTATGATTATTGTCTCTTTACTGGACACGTTAGCTGTGTATGGGGAAAGTAGATCGGTTTACCATCAATTTAGGAAGGGATTCTTTACAGTAAGAGTGGTGGAGGACCTACCGCATGAAATACAAAAATGAAAGTTGTTACTATAGGAAATAAAATAAGAAAAAATAAATATATATAAATCACATTCCTGTTATTGGAAAAGTACTTATGTGGTCACTGCTGGTTGTCACTCAGCGCAGGGGGAGGAGACTGACCACCTCTGTGATTACACACATGGCAAAGCTCTCCATCTTGTGCTGTCACTTGTCTTGTAGTGTATTGATGGATTGTGTTCTCTACAGTATGATGGATTGTTAGTCACTTCCCCCAGCAGTGATCAGAATGACCTATTAGGCTATAAAAGCGCCCGGCTCGTAGGCTGATATCTGTTACAAGGACATATCTGTAATGTGAAGGACTGCTTCTGCTATTCAAAGGTGGTGCGCAACCCATCTGCCAATCATTCTCACTTGCAGCAAGTTGTTTCTTAAAACAGCTCAATCTGCACATAGATGAGAGTAATCCATATAGCTGGAATGCTGCACCACGAGTATTAAACCTCCTTATAGGTTTGAGCTCCATAAACATGGGTCTTTTCTTTCTTTTTCTTTCTGTTTGTTTCTTTTTCTTTCTTTCTGTGTTTCTTTCTTTCTGTTTCTTTCTTTCTGTGTTTCTTTTTCTTTCTTTCTGTGTTTCTTTTTCTTTCTTTCTGTGTTTTTCTTTTTCTTTTTTTCTGTGTTTCTTTCTTTTTCTTTCTTTCTGTGTTTCTCTCTTTCTTTCTGTGTTTCTTTCTTTCTTTCTTTGTGTTTCTTTCTTTCTTTCTTTCTTTGTGTTTGTTTCTTTTTCTTTCTTTCTGTTTGTTTCTTTTTCTTTCTTTCTGTTTGTTTCTTTTTCTTTCTTTGTTTGTTTCTTTTTCTTTCTGTTTGTTTCTTTTTCTTTCTTTCTGTTTGTTTCTTTTTCTTTCTTTCTGTTTGTTTCTTTTTCTTTCTTTCTGTTTGTTTCTTTTTCTTTCTTTCTTTCTGTTTGTTTCTTTTTCTTTCTTTCTTTCTTTCTGTTTGTTTCTTTTTCTTTCTTTCTGTTTGTTTCTTTGTTCTTTTTCTTTCAACCTGATCTCCACCAACACACATGAATGGCCTCTCACCAGATGGCAGGCCCCTGGGTGCTTAGAGGCCAACAGAAGCTTGTATCTAATGAATCCAGGCTCAGGTTATCTACAGAATGTTGGTAGTTGTCATCCGTCGGATTCCCCACTTGGATCCAATGATAAAGGATATAACTGAACTTCCAGTTTGTTAAAACAGTAAAATGCCGGCTTGACCAAACCAAATGTTGCAGCTGTGCCCTACATGAGATGTCCTCAGGGGCCACGGGCCCTGGCTTCGAATGAGATCTTTGAACTATATTGGAGGAATATGTGGCTGTGGTCACACCACATCAGTCTCTCCCATATAAGAAGTCATATTACATTGATCAGATAATGAGTTCATCCTAAAAATATAAAACAGCAGCAAGTGCGCAAAATGAATTACTATTCCTATATAGATATATATATATATATATATATCGATATATATATATATATGATCACAGCTAGTATTTATAATGACAAAACATATGATCTCTTGCCAAAATCCAGACGAGGTCTTCCATCCAACTACTGACCAGAGCCAAGCCTGATTAGCTTCCAAAAACAGCAATACTCACAGCAATATAGCCACATGTGAAGTGTTAAAGATCTCCTCTGTTTAATCACACTGGAAATGAATACCATTAATATTTTTATTATATGCCGGTCTCAGTCTAGATTTGCATTTCCCGTATGGTCTGCACTGTAGTATGTTGTTGGGAACACACGGGCACTGCAAGTAGGAATAAAGGAGTTTGGTAATGATGCCATTCCAAATGAGAAGAACGTCGTCTACGTACCTCCTCCATGAGATCAAAGGAACATGTTAATTATATTTTAAAAAATGTTGTAGGGACATAGTTTGTGTGCCAATTGTGCTCCGCCTTATAATAAAAAGCCTATGGGTATAAAATTCATAGCTATAGATGACCCCCCCTTCCTTTCACTGGAGGGTTGTAACAGGACTAGGGAGACCTCAATACCTAAGACTAGATGGATTTATGAATGATGAGTGAAATATAAATTGTTTTATTGATAATAAATCTGATAAGAACTGTTTTTTAATTATCTGATATTCCTCTTTGGTCCACAGCCATTTCTATGGTTGTGTTCCTTGGCTAGTGTCACATTCTTTAAGCTGAGCAAGCTTGGTTCTGGTCAGTACCTGGATGGGAGATCCTGTTCTTGCTTTATATGGATATTGAGAAGATATACATCTTATATATCAGCTGTGGTCACTCTTTTATATATTTAGTATGGCAATAGTCATTTGGATTATTTTTTTTTTTTAGTATGAACTCATCGGCTAATCAGTGTGATATCACGTCACTGGTCTACTAGCTTCAAGTCTTGGGCCATGCTTTCCTGGACTTGTCTTGTTTTTGGAAGCTAAGCAGACTTGTCTCTGGCAAGTACCTGGATGGGATATCCCCCTTCTGGCTTTTGGGAGGATATACAATGTTTCTATGTTTTGTCCTATTTAATACTAGCTGTGGTCACTCTTTTGTGGTTTAGAGGATGAGAATAGGGATTTAGTTTATTGTTCTGTATTTCTAGTATGAGCTCATATCACCTGACGTATAGCTTGATGTCTATGGCTGAGTCTGATTTTGGAAGCTAGGCACCCTTTTCTCTGGTCAGTACCTGGATGGGAGACCCCTTTCTGGCTTCCTATGGATTTGAAATGAGTGTTCTTGATGTCTATACACTGATCCTTGGGCGGTGTCATGTTTTTCAAGCTAAGCAGGCTCATCTTTGGTTCGTATCTGGATGGAAGACCCCCCCCCTCTTGTTTTGGCAGATCCTCCCTTAGGAGGATATACAATGTTCCTGTGTTTTGTCCTATTAAATACACTCTTTTATATATTAAGTATGGGAATAGTCATTTGGATAATTGGTTTGATTTTTTTTAGTATGAACTCATCGGCTAATCAATGTGATATTACGTCATCTGTCTACCAGGTTCATTTTTGGCCATGTTTTCCTGGATATGTCTGGTTTTGGAGGCTATGCAGACTTGTCTCTAGCCAGTACCTGGATGGGATACCCTCCTACTGGCTTTATATGGTTTTTGGGAGGATATACAATGTTTAAGCTCATATCACCTGACAACATGATGTCTCTGGCCACAGTGCTATGGCTGAGTCTGATTTTGGAAGCTAGGCACCCTTTTCTCTGGTCAGTATCTGGACGGGAAACCCCTTTCTGGGCTTTCTATGGATTGGAAATGAGCGGTCTTGATGTCTATAAACCGTTCCTTGGCAGGTGTCATGTTTTGGAAGCTAAGCAGGCTCATCTTTGGTCAGTACCTGGATGGAAGACCCCCCTGGAATACTGGATGCTATTAGCTTTCTATGGATTGTGAGGAGATATACAATGTTTCTATGTTTTGTTATGGATAACAATAGCTGTGGTCACTCTTTTTTACATACATATATTAAGGATGGGAATAATAATTTAGATTATTGTTTTGTATTTGTAGTATAAAGTATTGCCTGATCAGTACTACAAACCTTAGATGCCTGATTGATGTCTGTGGCCCTATTTCCCATCAGCTGTTTGACTTCTAGAAGCTATACTGGCTCATCTCTGGTCAGTACCTGGATGGGAGAACCCCTTCTGGATTTTGGGAGGGTATTCAATGTTTCTATGTTTTGTCAAATACTAGCTGCGATCACTCTTTTATATATACAGTAAACTCTCTGTTATCCACAATTCAACTAACCAGAACTCTCATCTAACCAGAAAAAAAACAAATCCCCTCTGTGTACTCACTGTTCTGCTGATCTGTGGCATGTATTACCATGGAAACCATCGTGTGTCTATTTGTCTTCATTTGTTTTCATGACTGCATTTCAATATTAATATGAAGTCAATACAGAGTTTATGTTGTATGGTATAGTATGGGGTATGGCATTAGTTAGACCTATTTTTAACTATGAAATCCTAGCTGTGGTCACTCTTTTATATATATTAGGGATGGTAATAATAATCCAGTTTATTGTTTTGTATTTTTCGTATGAGCTCATTGTCTGATCAGTGCGATATTACTGATGATCTGACTTAGATTGATATCCAGTCCCTCCCCTGTCACGGCAGAGAGCCGTGACAGGATCGAGAGGTGAGCGAACGCCGGTATGTGTTCGCTCACCTCCCGATCTACTGAGCCGACCTGTGACATTCTCTTTGTCACAGGTCGGCTAGAACTATGAGGTGAGTGGAAAGCACCCCCCTCATAGTTCTCCTTTAATATACTGTATATGTGGCCATAGGGATCAATGTAAGCTGTTGCAGCAGTGATAAATATAGCTTATTGTTTTGTATTTTTAGTATGAGCTCTTTGTCGGATCAGTGGGAAAACACTTCACGCCTGGGTCAGCTCGACATCTGTGTCTTCATTTCTCTGGAGTTGTATGATTTTGGAAGCTAAGCATGCTCAGTTCCACTTAATAATCCAGTTTATTGTTTTGTATTCTTAGTATGAGCTCGTTGTCTGATCAGTGCGATATCACTGCAGCGACGGCTTAGATTGATATCCATGGCCATGTTTCTCAGGAGGTGTCTGGTTCTGGAAGCTAAGCACAATGAGCCCTGGTCACTACCTAGATGGGGAACGCCCCTGAGATCTGGATTTTGGGAGGATATACAATGTTTCTATGTTTTGTCCTATGAAATCCTAGCTGTGGTCACTCTTTTATATATATTAGGGATGGTAATAATAATCTAGATTATTGATTTATATTTTTAGTATGAACACATTGCCTGATCAGTACTTTATCACTGCTGTAACGGCTTACATTGATCCCTATACCAACATTGGTTTGGAAATGTCTGATTTTGGAAACTGATCATGATGAGCCTTGGTCACTACCTGGATGGGAGACACCGCTGTGGCTTTTGGGAGAATATAAAATGTTTCTATGTTTTGTCCTATTAAATCCTGGCTGCGGTCACTCTTTTATATATATTAGGGATGGTAATAGTAATTTAGTATATTGTTTTGTATTTTTAGTATGAGTTCATTGGCTGATCAGAGGGACAAACCTTCCTGTACAGGGGACATTGACGTCTATGGTCAAAAGGGGGCCTGGATCTGAAAGCTAAGCAGGTTTGGTTCTGGTCAGTATTATGATGAGAGATCCGCTTAAGACTTTTGGGAGCATATACAATGTTTCCATCTTTTGTGATATGAAATACTAACTGTTGTCACTCTTTTATATACAGTATATTAAGGATGGGAATAGTCACTGAGTTTATTGTTTTGCATCTTTAGTATGAGCTCGTAGTCTGATCACTGCGCTTTATCACTGCACTTTATCACTGCACTTCTATCACTGCAGCGACAGCTTAGATTGATGTCCATGTCCATGTTTCTCAGGAGGAAGCCAAGCACAATGAACCCTGGTCAGTTCCTGGATGGGAGACCCCCTACAAGGATATACAATGTTTCTATGTTTTGTCCTATGAAATCCTAGCTGTGGTCACTCTTTTATATATATATTAAGGATGGAAATAATAATCTAGTTTATTGTTTTGTATTTTTCGTATGAGCTCGTTGTCTGATCACTCGGCTATAAACCCTCTCATACATGAACCATTGATATCTGTGGCCGTGTTGCTCAGGACGTGTCTGATTCAGGAAGCTAAGCAGGTTTGGCTCTGGTCAGTACCTGGATGGGAGACCACCTACAACGATTTTTGGAGCATATACAATGTTTCTATGTTTTGTCACATGAAATACCAGCTGTGGTCACTATATTATATATATTAAGGGCCTGTGGCTCTTGAGGATGTCTCATGTAGGGCGGAGCTTCGGGGCACCAGTGTCATCACATGACCTGTGTTCATGTGAGCCGAAACATCCGGTGTTAATAAAGTTTTATGAAATCGAGTGTTCAGTGCAGTCTGTACTCTTCTGGTGACAACTGAGGATCGGCATTCCAAGTGGGGAATCCGACGGATGACAACCACTGACATTCTGCGGATAACCTGAACCTGGATTCATTACACACAAGCTTCAATTGGTCTCTAATCACCCAGGTGTGGGGGGAGGGGGAGGGGGTGTGCCATCTGGTGAGCGGCCATTCATATGTGGTGGAGTGGATTTAGGATCAGGAATCAGCACAGTGGTCAGGTAACTGCTGGTGGTGGAGTGGATCTAGGAACAGGAATCAGCACAGCGGTCAGGGGACTGCTGGGGGTGGAGTGGATCTAAGATCAGGAATCAGTACAGCGGTCAGGTGACTGCTGGGGGTGGAGTGGATCTAAGATCAGGAATCAGTACAGCGGTCAGGTGACTGCTGGGGGTGGAGTGGATCTAAGATCAGGAATCAGTACAGCGGTCAGGTGACTGCTGGGGGTGGAGTGGATCTAAGATCAGGAATCAGTACAGCGGTCAGGTGACTGCTGGGGGTGGAGTGGATCTAAGATCAGGAATCAGTACAGCGGTCAGGTGACTGCTGGGGGTGGAGTGGATCTAAGATCAGGAATCAGTACAGCGGTCAGGTGACTGCTGGGGGTGGAGTGGATCTAAGATCAGGAATCAGTACAGCGGTCAGGTGACTGCTGGGGGTGGAGTGGATCTAAGATCAGGAATCAGTACAGCGGTCAGGTGACTGCTGGGGGTGGAGTGGATCTAAGATCAGGAATCAGTACAGCGGTCAGGTGACTGCTGGGGGTGGAGTGGATCTAAGATCAGGAATCAGTACAGCGGTCAGGTGACTGCTGGGGGTGGAGTGGATCTAAGATCAGGAATCAGTACAGCGGTCAGGTGACTGCTGGGGGTGGAGTGGATCTAAGATCAGGAATCAGTACAGCGGTCAGGTGACTGCTGGGGGTGGAGTGGATCTAAGATCAGGAATCAGTACAGCGGTCAGGTGACTGCTGGGGGTGGAGTGGATCTAAGATCAGGAATCAGTACAGCGGTCAGGTGACTGCTGGGGGTGGAGTGGATCTAAGATCAGGAATCAGTACAGCGGTCAGGTGACTGCTGGGGGTGGAGTGGATCTAAGATCAGGAATCAGTACAGCGGTCAGGTGACTGCTGGGGGTGGAGTGGATCTAAGATCAGGAATCAGTACAGCGGTCAGGTGACTGCTGGGGGTGGAGTGGATCTAAGATCAGGAATCAGTACAGCGGTCAGGTGACTGCTGGGGGTGGAGTGGATCTAAGATCAGGAATCAGTACAGCGGTCAGGTGACTGCTGGGGGTGGAGTGGATCTAAGATCAGGAATCAGTACAGCGGTCAGGTGACTGCTGGGGGTGGAGTGGATCTAAGATCAGGAATCAGTACAGCGGTCAGGTGACTGCTGGGGGTGGAGTGGATCTAAGATCAGGAATCAGTACAGCGGTCAGGTGACTGCTGGGGGTGGAGTGGATCTAAGATCAGGAATCAGTACAGCGGTCAGGTGACTGCTGGGGGTGGAGTGGATCTAAGATCAGGAATCAGTACAGCGGTCAGGTGACTGCTGGGGGTGGAGTGGATCTAAGATCAGGAATCAGTACAGCGGTCAGGTGACTGCTGGGGGTGGAGTGGATCTAAGATCAGGAATCAGTACAGCGGTCAGGTGACTGCTGGGGGTGGAGTGGATCTAAGATCAGGAATCAGTACAGCGGTCAGGTGACTGCTGGGGGTGGAGTGGATCTAAGATCAGGAATCAGTACAGCGGTCAGGTGACTGCTGGGGGTGGAGTGGATCTAAGATCAGGAATCAGTACAGCGGTCAGGTGACTGCTGGGGGTGGAGTGGATCTAAGATCAGGAATCAGTACAGCGGTCAGGTGACTGCTGGGGGTGGAGTGGATCTAAGATCAGGAATCAGTACAGCGGTCAGGTGACTGCTGGGGGTGGAGTGGATCTAAGATCAGGAATCAGTACAGCGGTCAGGTGACTGCTGGGGGTGGAGTGGATCTAAGATCAGGAATCAGTACAGCGGTCAGGTGACTGCTGGGGGTGGAGTGGATCTAAGATCAGGAATCAGTACAGCGGTCAGGTGACTGCTGGGGGTGGAGTGGATCTAAGATCAGGAATCAGTACAGCGGTCAGGTGACTGCTGGGGGTGGAGTGGATCTAAGATCAGGAATCAGTACAGCGGTCAGGTGACTGCTGGGGGTGGAGTGGATCTAAGATCAGGAATCAGTACAGCGGTCAGGTGACTGCTGGGGGTGGAGTGGATCTAAGATCAGGAATCAGTACAGCGGTCAGGTGACTGCTGGGGGTGGAGTGGATCTAAGATCAGGAATCAGTACAGCGGTCAGGTGACTGCTGGGGGTGGAGTGGATCTAAGATCAGGAATCAGTACAGCGGTCAGGTGACTGCTGGGGGTGGAGTGGATCTAAGATCAGGAATCAGTACAGCGGTCAGGTGACTGCTGGGGGTGGAGTGGATCTAAGATCAGGAATCAGTACAGCGGTCAGGTGACTGCTGGGGGTGGAGTGGATCTAAGATCAGGAATCAGTACAGCGGTCAGGTGACTGCTGGGGGTGGAGTGGATCTAAGATCAGGAATCAGTACAGCGGTCAGGTGACTGCTGGGGGTGGAGTGGATCTAAGATCAGGAATCAGTACAGCGGTCAGGTGACTGCTGGGGGTGGAGTGGATCTAAGATCAGGAATCAGTACAGCGGTCAGGTGACTGCTGGGGGTGGAGTGGATCTAAGATCAGGAATCAGTACAGCGGTCAGGTGACTGCTGGGGGTGGAGTGGATCTAAGATCAGGAATCAGTACAGCGGTCAGGTGACTGCTGGGGGTGGAGTGGATCTAAGATCAGGAATCAGTACAGCGGTCAGGTGACTGCTGGTGGTGGAGTGGATCTAGGATCAGTGGTCAGGTGACTGAGATCCCCAGAAGAGGTGAGCGGGGTCAGAACAAGGAAAGTGAGTTGGGCTCCTGCTGGCGGCTGACTGTGGACAGCCAGAGGAAGGTAACAGGTTGTATTTGCACGCTTGCTTTATTATAATAATGATATACGTGGGGCCGCTGTACTATGGGATCGGGCTTTATAAACTCCCTGGAGCTCCAGCTGCCTCAGTCATAGTCTACCCCGAAAGATGTGATTGGTCAGTCCGCCCGCCCTGGCCTTGATCTGATTGGCTGGTACTGGACAGCATATACTTACAAATAGCTCTGCTTGAACAGCGGGTGATGGGACTTTTCATTGACATGGTAGAGGGGGAATGGATCAAATCCACCAATGAAATCAACTGAAAGAAAGAAAAGCAAACCAAACAATGGCGCGGGCATGCAGGCGGACAGGAGGGGAGAGCAGAGAGGCGGGGGGGATGGACCGGAATCTGGGTCAATGGAGGGACACGTGACGCTAACTATTGATGTCCCGTCCTGGTGATGGGAGGAGGTCGGGGTATCAGCCGGGGCCCCGGATCTATCACTGCGGAGGCTCCTCCCCCTCTAAGATGGCCACCATACAATCCGATTGTACAATCTCCTTTACCACACCTCAACCATCCATCCAATCAGGCGGGCCCTGACACTGGGGTGTGGCCAGGTATACAGAGGGATATACTCACAGCTGTCCTCCTCCTCGCTGAACACGCTGGTCACATAACAGGCGTAGACAAAGCCGAGGAGCTGGGGAAGAAGAAGAATCGGGAGATTAGACGAGGAGCATCCTTCCATCGGCTCACCGCTCACTGCAAACTCCCATTATACTGAGATGATACACACCAGCTGAAGGGTAGATATCAGGCTTGGAGCATGCTGATAGGAGGAGAGAGCAGAGTGACAGGGAGCATTGTCTTAATAATGAGCTGGTACACATCAGATGAAAGCTAAACTCAGGCTTGTAGCATGGAGGATGACAGGTCCACTTTAAGCCTTCATCCAGCAGGGGGATGCCCTACACAAGAATGACAATATGGGACAGCAGCAGGCGTTCCCGGCACTGGGCTGCGTGTCATATGATGCCAGTGATGTATTGCCGGGCCCGGCACAGCTGGAGGGGAGGATGGCCGGGGATTGGTTCAGGAATGCTCGGTATCAGGGAGACTCCCTGCGGGACATGGAAAGGTCACATGCCTCTGGAAAGGCGCGCATGGGGCAGCACAGCGAGGGGCGGGGCCCAGAGTGCAAAAGTAACATTGTAAATGTGAGTTCTAGAAATAATCTCTGTTATCCTCCTCATCATCCTCCTCATCATCCTCCTCCTCATCCTTCTGAGGAAACGATGTCGAGAACATGAGGACCGCTGACACCGCGAGGAGACCGCCACACACTCTTAAAGGGACAGTCCACCTTAAAGAGATATGGGAGCTCCTCATAATGGGCACAGCAGGTGTACAGACCCGGAACTCAGCACGGGGATGGTGGGAGCTCCTCATAATGGGCACAGCAGGTGTACAGACCCGGAACTCAGCACGGGGATGGTGGGAGCTCCTCATAATGGGCACAGCAGGTGTACAGACCCGGAACTCAGCACGGGGATGGTGGGAGCTCCTCATAATGGGCACAGCAGGTGTACAGACCCGGAACTCAGCACGGGGATGGTGGGAGCTCCTCATAATGGGCACAGCAGGTGTACAGACCCGGAACTCAGCACGGGGATGGTGGGAGCTCCTCATAATGGGCACAGCAGGTGTACAGACCCGGAACTCAGCACGGGGATGGTGGGAGCTCCTCATAATGGGCACAGCAGGTGTACAGACCCGGAACTCAGCACGGGGATGGTGGGAGCTCCTCATAATGGGCACAGCAGGTGTACAGACCCGGAACTCAGCACGGGGATGGTGGGAGCTCCTCATAATGGGCACAGCAGGTGTACAGACCCGGAACTCAGCACGGGGATGGTGGGAGCTCCTCATAATGGGCACAGCAGGTGTACAGACCCGGAACTCAGCACGGGGATGGTGGGAGCTCCTCATAATGGGCACAGCAGGTGTACAGACCCGGAACTCAGCACGGGGATGGTGGGAGCTCCTCATAATGGGCACAGCAGGTGTACAGACCCGGAACTCAGCACGGGGATGGTGGGAGCTCCTCATAATGGGCACAGCAGGTGTACAGACCCGGAACTCAGCACGGGGATGGTGGGAGCTCCTCATAATGGGCACAGCAGGTGTACAGACCCGGAACTCAGCACGGGGATGGTGGGAGCTCCTCATAATGGGCACAGCAGGTGTACAGACCCGGAACTCAGCACGGGGATGGTGGGAGCTCCTCATAATGGGCACAGCAGGTGTACAGACCCGGAACTCAGCACGGGGATGGTGGGAGCTCCTCATAATGGGCACAGCAGGTGTACAGACCCGGAACTCAGCACGGGGATGGTGGGAGCTCCTCATAATGGGCACAGCAGGTGTACAGACCCGGAACTCAGCACGGGGATGGTGGGAGCTCCTCATAATGGGCACAGCAGGTGTACAGACCCGGAACTCAGCACGGGGATGGTGGGAGCTCCTCATAATGGGCACAGCAGGTGTACAGACCCGGAACTCAGCACGGGGATGGTGGGAGCTCCTCATAATGGGCACAGCAGGTGTACAGACCCGGAACTCAGCACGGGGATGGTGGGAGCTCCTCATAATGGGCACAGCAGGTGTACAGACCCGGAACTCAGCACGGGGATGGTGGGAGCTCCTCATAATGGGCACAGCAGGTGTACAGACCCGGAACTCAGCACGGGGATGGTGGGAGCTCCTCATAATGGGCACAGCAGGTGTACAGACCCGGAACTCAGCACGGGGATGGTGGGAGCTCCTCATAATGGGCACAGCAGGTGTACAGACCCGGAACTCAGCACGGGGATGGTGGGAGCTCCTCATAATGGGCACAGCAGGTGTACAGACCCGGAACTCAGCACGGGGATGGTGGGAGCTCCTCATAATGGGGGGGGGGAACCATGGCCACCATTGGGAAGAACATCAATCTTGAACTTACCGCCAACATGATCTGCGTGGCACTGTGTAACACTTCGATGTACTGGTACCCGATGGCACACCCAACCACCGATACGTAAGAGTGGCTCTCCAGGCTGGCCATGCCAGGCACAGGGGCCTCCTTCCTGATACAGCCGGGTCCGTGTTCACTCCACCATGACTGGTGCTCCGACACGTGGAACGTCAGAAGGTCGCTGTCCTGCGAGCAGAAAACACAACCACCATCAATGTACAGATCACACTTCTATATCATTCTCATCTATGACGGGGGGGGAGGAGCTTGTGTGGTGAACAATGTCAATGGCTCTCCTGCAGCTTCTTTGCAGCCACTTCCTGTCTACATGCACTCCAGCGATGGCGGCCATTGCAGTTCTCAGGTTGCGATCACTGATGGTGACAACAGTGCACCATCTCTGTGTAATGTGTGTTAAAAAAAACAGCCATCTGGGAGTCCATGTGACGGGTGACCGCACGGCTGCCCATTGGGAGACGGGGACAGAGCGTTGTCACCCTATACCAGGGATCCTCAGGGATTTCAGTGATCGGATTCACAACTATGTGAAATATTTATACCAAGTGGCAGAACCGGATGTGAAAAGCAGACGCGGCGCAGCGACAGATGGACGTGGAATGTTGGCAAATGGGGTCCTCAGCGATGGAGCAGGCAGGACACGGCTTGGTATGTACATGGAACAGGTGATGACACGTGTGTGTTATATGTATCCAGTAGAGATCAGAGCGGGGGATGGCTGCATGAAGTAATTATCGCTCAGCACGACATGCTTCATCCATTCATAATTAATAAAGGGAAGTCATGTGACCTCCTACAGCACCTTGTGGCGTCTGCATGTACTCTTTATCTTGTCAGTAAAATGCTGGGAGGCCTCCGGAACACGAGGCCTTGACCTTTGCCCTGGGTCAGAGCTGTGGTCATGCCCCCCAACATCCAAATATGCAGTGCCAATATTTGGGGGGGTCATACTGAATTAATTGAACTGTGGTGTCACGGCTCAAGGGGGGGAGCAGAGGTGCCGTTTAGGACATGAAGTGACTTACCTTAGACAGATCGCCCACTTCCAGGTAGAAGCAGATCAGAAATACATTCCAGGTCACCCACACGGCAGCCCAGATGGCGTACTGGAAGCAAGAGAGGGGAGAGAAGAGATTAGCCAGGGTCAGTGTGTATCCGGCACGCTGGTAAATACTTAAAGAGACCCTGTCACCAACTTCTTTTTTTGCAAGGTGCTAGAAATGCGTTTGTATGGTTCCATTGGGCTCAATGGCATTGCTGAACAGTGGGTCGCCATTTTGTTGGTGGGTAAGCTATCCAATTGCAGCAGCAGGCCAATGTTCTGTCTTATTGGGCATAGTAATAGCAGGCAGGGAGGCGGGGCATCCCCATGTGGCATGGCGAAGCAGCCCCCCCCCAACTTCAAAAAGGAGCATGCTTCATTTAAAGGGAAATGCGTTTGTATGGTTCCATTGGGCTCAATGGCATTGCTGTGCGGTGGGCGCCATTTTGTTGGTGGGTAAACCATCCAACTGCAGCAGCAGGCCAATGTTCTGTCCCATTGGCCATAGTAGAAGCAGGCAGGGAAGGGGGG